TAATAGGAGTCCGAATTTGTTTCAAATTGTCGTTTTCGTTCTTTGACTTGAATTTCTCCTTACCCAAATTAGGAAAAAGGATAATATTTGTTTGGGCCTGTATTGGGCTTTTGGCCCATATTCTTTGCGGAAGCAATCCAGATAATAGTGTGAAATAATGGTGTGCAACGTTCCGATCTGGTGTGGACTAGATCGAACTATGATAAAGTTGGTCCAACGATCAAGGAAATCTGAAAACATAAATGAGATTGGACTTGATGTGGTTCAAATATAGAATCCGACATGCTTGCTCGGGTGCGTGTGCGTGTCGGCCCGTTTGGACTTGGCCTTAGTTTTTTATCGTGCTCTGGTGCGCGATCGAGTTTTAAATTTATAAAGTCGAAGCACAGTTTCTAATCAATCCTAACTAAGCCAAGTATAACCTAGCTAGGGTTGTAGTAAAGTGGCTCAGTTGTATTCCACGGGATCTCTAAGTGTAGTATTACTTAGCTCCGAAGTACTATGGGTTTTAGCTAAATTAACCTACTCCTAAGTCCTAAGGCAAAATAAACAACCAACCAAGTGGTTGAGAGAACGCTAGAGATGAGATGGTTGTCTAGGGTCAAGTCCTCCTAGCTAAGGTTGTAAAGTAGGGTTAATCGAATGTGGTGAGTGAGCTATTTTCCGTGAGATTTCGTGGTTACCCACACGCCTCCGAGTACGCCTCCCCTAAACCCATGTTCCAGTCACCTCGATCTAGGCTATCGTATCTGGGGCATTAAGCTTATGACTCATTTAAATAGACACTATCCACTGTCCACACCGAGGTTTTATCCCGAGTTTCATCTAGGAAGGCTACCTATAGCAGGGGTTCAGTCGCCTCGGCCACTATAGGCCCCCATTCACACATCTATCCTAAACTCGCCAGTTAGCGCATACCCGTCTAACCCTAGAACTCCATACCCAGCGCGATAGCATAAAGTAGTCTAAGAGGGAAGATTAGGGAGACTTACCCAAGCATCATCATTCAAGAAAGAGTGGCATTAAAATCAACTAGACAAACACATTCATTCAAAACCCAAACATTCACAACCTATAACTAGGGTTCATCTATCCTAAACAACCACTAGAGATTCAAGCCATTAGAGAGAAGAAGAAAATACAAACTAGAATAGGGGAATGATGGAATCAAGCTTCTTCTCCTTGCTCCTTGGGTTGAATGGATCTTCAATGAAGCTCTCCAAAGGTGTTTCTCTCTCTAAAGCACTCAAAAACCCTAATTTTCTCACCCCATGGTGGCTCTCCCTTTTTTTCACTCCAACAACTCTTCTATTTATAGGCGCTGGAAATCCCGACCAAGCGGCGTCCCCTTCCAGAGTTCGTGGTCGGCGTGGTCAACTTTGCGGCCGCGATCTTCTTGCCTTGGCCCGTGATCTTCTGGCACGTTTGTGGTCCATTTTCACGATCAGGAACTTCGGTCCTTCGGTTCCATGCGATCTTTGTCATGTCTGGTCCTTCTCCTTGATTCTACACATTCTTGCTCATTTTCTCCCCGTTTTTGCTCATAATGTCAAATTCGTCCCAAAACAACATCATAAACGAAAAGGAACGAAATAGGCATGTAAATGACATTTTGTAAAACAACTGGAGATCATTTTAATACAATTTCACCTAATAAGTGCAAAGTAAATAACACCATTTTGGTGTTATCAGTTTTTTACACAATAATTTGCTCAAATATTATCTTTTCTAGACATGATTTTATCGTTAGACCATAAACTATTCATTATTAGACCGCACAATAGGAAATATATTATATAAAGCTCACAAATTCACCATTATCTCTTTATTATTTGCAGGATATGTAAGGTAAGTTGATTTTTACCTAACAGGTTTATCAAATTTAATAAATTTATTAACTTGACTTCGTTGTTATACTATACCGTATGAAAGATTTATGTATTATTAAAGTTTTATGATTGTATAAAACTCCCATATTTACCATAAACTATTTTTTATTCCGGTTACACAAAGGGTTTGTATGGCCGGTGATTTTTTACATAACAGCTTAATCAATGTAATTTTTTTATTTAACTTGATCTTATTATTAGATCAACAATCCGAAAGATATGTGTAAATTTGGTTTAACTATGATAGTTACGTAATTGAAAATACATTATATAAAACTTATTGAGGGATAATTATTTCTTTTGTTAATTATTCCCTAATGATCAATAAGGGTTAATTGCATGGTTGGTCACTGAGATTACAAAAAGCGTTCATGTTCGGTCACTAGAAATATTTAAATCCAATCTTGGTCACTCAAATTAGTTAAATGGTTCAAGTTTGGTCACTCTCCGTTACCTTCCGTCAGTCTCCGTTAACACCGTCAATTATTTGCTGATGTGGCTAACAGACTCACCTAGTCACCTATTTTTGACAAAATAAAAATAAAATCCAATCCTGCCACGTCATAAAAGCTTGCCACATCATAAAAACCTGACCAATGTGACCCAACCCATTAACCCATGATCTGACCTACCCCAAATTAAATCCCAAAATTGACCAATCCTCAACATCCCTCCTATCGACCATCCCCAATTCCTCCATCGTCCCTTCCAATCTCCCTCGTCGATTGTACTCACTCCCGAGCTTTTGTCCCCTTCCCCTCGAGACCTCTCCGCCTTTCGAATATCTTTATCCTCCTCCCTATTCCCACCTTCTTCTCCTCCCTTCCCTCTCATTTTCCCCACCAATCCTCCGACATGCTTCACAGCTTGCTCCTCCAATATTCCCACCCCTCCTCCATGAAAAGCAAGCGCGTCGACCGCGACCTCGCCGGCGACGACGACCCTTCCGCCAAACGCCCCAACTTCTCCGCCGGCGAGCAGAACTAGCCGGCAGAAGAAGACCCCTCCTCCTCCGTCGTCGCCGCCGCCGTCTCCGTCGTCAAAGGCGGCGAGTCCACCGGCCTCCGCCTTTTGTGTCTCCTCCTCCAATGCGTGGAGTGCGTCGCCATGGACAACCTCGACTACGCCACAGATCTCCTCCCCGAAATCTCCGAGCTCTCCTCCCCCTTTGGCTCTTCCCCTCAACGCGTCGGTGCGTACTTCGCCCACGCGCTCCAGTCGCAGAAGGTCTTCACCGCCTTCCAGTCCTACAATTCGATCTCGCCGCTCATCAAATTCTTCCACTTCACCGTCAATCAGGCCATCTTCCAGGCTCTGGACGGTGAGCATGGATGGAATGGAGGGCGAGGAAGTAGAGAAGCAGAGCGTGAGAGGAATGTGGCCGGGACGATTCAGATCCTTCGGTTGGAAGTCGGAGAGAGGAAGATGGTGGAAGTTGAAGGGAGTGGAAAATCAACGAGGGAGATTGGAAGGGACGGTGGAGGAATTGGGGATGGTCGATAGGAGGGATTGAAGAGACTGGTGGGGAAGATCGGAAGATTGGCCGATTATTTTTCACCAAGAGAGCTAGAGATTGGAGAAGAAGGGAAGAGGGAGTTGGTGGTGCTCGTGGCGTTGATGTTTTTGTCGAAGGAAGGAGAAGAGGGGAAACCGGGGGATTGAACAGGTCGGCGGCAATAGCTTCTTCCGGTCGTCTTCTCCGGGCAAGGGATTTTGAGGATTGGTCAATTTTGGATTTTAATTTGGGGTAGGTCAGATCATGGGTTAATGGGTTGGGTCACATTGGTCAGATTTTTATGATAGTAAGCTTTTATGACGCGGCAGGATTGGATTTTTTTTTTATTTTTGTTAAAAATAGGTGACTAGGTGAGTCTTTTAGCCACGTCAGCAAATAATTGACGCTGTTAACGGAGACTGACGGAATGTAACGGAGAGTGACCAAACTTGAATCATTTAACTAATTTGAGTGACCAAGATTGGATTTAAATATTTCTAGTGACCAAACATGAACGCTTTTTGTAATTTCAGTGACCAACCGTGCAATTAACCCTGATCAATAATATAGTAATTCATTTATTATTAACTAAATTGTTTATCATCTCATAAATAAGCAATACACGAATATTCTCTAAGGCAAATTATTATTATTTTACATAAAGATTTAGTAATGAGACATTGTAAAGTATATGGAGAGATTTTATTTTTTATATATCAGTTAAACAAACGTGTGATGTGTGTCTTTCGTAATAATTAAGACAAGTTTCTTAACGCAACGAAGAGCGGGCCAAAAAACTAGTATATCTTAATAATGAATGATTTGATGAATAACAATTAAATTGGACATATGGAAGAAAATGTACTTGATAATTAAATACAATGTATAGTTAGTATATTGCTTCTGTATATGTACCATAATCTGGATCCAAATAGACTCATTTGGGTTCCGACACAATCCAAAACCATTAAGAGAGCATAAGAGTTCATTATTTGAATATGATCCAACGCACACGAGTCTTGCCAATTGAGTCAAATTACCTAACTATGTCAACCCAGCCATTATGATTCCTACTTGGGGTGTGGCCAACCAACATGTAAAGCGAATGAAGAGATTATCGGTATATGATGCTCTCGTGCTTAATGCTATTTTGGATTAACCATCAAATAAAAAACTTAAGAAAAAATTATAGTACATGTACCAACAATTTCATGGAAATAACAACACATAAATTAGAAAGAATATTAATACTCAAGATAATGCATACCAATTTTCTTAAACAACACATATCATACTTGGAAAATTTACTAGTTTTGCCTTTTTCACTAGATGCAAAATTTAAAAAAGATTATCTTGCAAATCAAAACCAAACAAATCCCTCTTCCACTGAATTTTCATTTCCCCCCTCCATCGCCATGGCACCAACAACATTATCTCCACTCGTAATCACTCTCTTCATCCTCTTCTCCATCTCACTCAACTCCCACTGCTTCAAAATCACGACTCAACTCATCCACCGCGACTCCTACTTCTCTCCGCTCTTCAACGCCACCGAGACCACCACCGATCGTGCTGCAAGGATCATCTAAGCTACCCTCGCCCGCTATGGTCACCACCTGAACGAGGACGACAAGCCACTGGCTGTCGACATCAAGGCCCCTGGGATCTGGGGAATCAAGCATAACATGTTCTACGTCAACTTCTCCATCGGCGACCCACCGGTACCTCAGCTAGCTCTGATGGACACCGGCAGCGACTTGTTGTGGGTGGATTGCCCGCCGTGCAGTCCCTGCTCCGCCAGCTCCGGAGCAACCTATTTTTACTCCTTCAATTCCAAGACCTACTCTCCGTTCCCTTGCACCGATGACTGCAAAAAATACACAAGTACGTATTCATTATCGATAACGATATGAGAGCTTTTTACAACGGAAAATGATGGTCGCAAAAAGAACTTTTTACCATCAGGTGGTTACCAAAGATACAAAATCGTCGCAAAAGATCTTTTTTCTTGTAGTGACTGACACCCACACATTTACATCTTACAATTTTCAAACGGCAAACGAATGAATTCACTTGAAATATGATTTGAAAGAAGCAGAAGGTTTCTTTTGATTAACCGCTACTCTGTACGACGAATTATTAGGCACTCCTTAAGTATAACGTCGTAGGAGAGATCATGATGTGTTATTACGAGCCGATTTGGAAGAAGTCTCTACTGAATTTTTCAAATTTTTTTTTACGTACTCGTCCTCATGAATTTGTCGAATTTTCATGTGCATGACGAAAAGGGGGTTGGCCATGGTCGCCGAAGCACTGCATGTATAGAATAGACTACATGGGCGGCCACAGTTCAGAAGGAATATACGCCACCGAACAACTAACCTTTCAGACCTCCAACAATGGATTCGTGACCACCATCCCGAAAGTCTTCTTCGGGTGTTCTAGTAAGCTGACCGGACCAGAAGGTCTCGACCCGCACGTCAACGGAATTCTAGGACTAATGGCTGGAGCCGGCGATGACGATTTTCCCGATGGCCAGTTCCCTTTGGTTACCCGATTGGGTACCAGCTTCTCGTATTGCGTCGGCAGCCTGTCCGATCGTTACTACCCTCAGAACCACTTATCCTTCGGCCTCGCCGTCGACTTGATCGGCGGATCGACTCCCTTGTACCTCCAAGACGGCAGTTACTTTGTCCACCTCTCCGGCATCAGCTTCGGTGGCAAGATGTTGGACATAAAAAAAGGAAGTGTTCACAGAGATGGCGTTGAGGAAGAAGATTGAGATGGACAGCGGATCAGAGCTGTTTCTCCTATACACTGAAGCTTTCGACGCGGTGAAAGAAAAGGTTGAGATTATGGCTTTCTGGGAGCTAACCCGGGTCTCTCCACCGAGCCCTTTGGAGCTATGTTACAAAGGAACTATAGACAGAGAAGGTCGAGGGTTTCCGGTGATGGGGATCCACTTCGTCGGTGGGGTGGAGTTGGTCGTGAATCGTTTTGGGATGTTCTGGCAGGTTACAGATGATGTTTTCTACTTGGCTGTTGTTAGGTCAAACGATGCGAGTGTTATTGGGATGATGGCTCAACAGGGTTACAATGTTGGGTATGATCTGAAATCAATGACTGTGAGTTTCCAAAAAATGGATTGCCAACTTTTGGAAGGATGATGATTATTGATCAAACACATATGTAATATTCGCGGTGTACTTGTGTTAATGAATTTGTCGGGTATACATGATGATCATGTTTGCTTGTCTTAGACGACTTTTCTTTATAACGAATAGAAGATTATGTATATCGGAACTTACATGTATATATTCGGTTAAGTCTTAGAAAGTCAATAACATAGATTTAGGGAATGTCTACGACGACATTATTAAAAATCCAAGTTAATGTGACTTCGTTAAAGGTAGACAAATGACTGGTATAGTGAATATATTGTATATGCTTCGTGTGGTTTATAACAAACGTACAAGTTCAACATGGTTCAAGGATAAATTTATATAATAAGTATACGAAGGTTGATTGGAGCACCAAATAATTAATAGTTGTCGTGCACATGTTGACTTCTTTGTTTGTAGGTGGAATGATTTCAAGGCCCGTTACCTACACCAATGAGGCATTTTAGTATGCTATATAGCACCCCTGCTTTAATATACTTAGAGCCATTAGATCTTGTTATAAAATATCAGCCATTGGATTGAAGTCATTTAATTATTATTTTTTTCACTCGTTGGAATGGTAACCTGTTGCACCGGTTCGTTACATAATAATTTTAAAAAAAATTGAAATCCAGTCGGGGTAAAGGCGATTGAGCTCGTCGGAATTCGGAGCCTCTCTTCCGCGGTGGAATTTCAGAGCGTCTCTTCGTCGATAGTGACGGGGTTGATTAGCGGCAACGGCGAACCTGCATCTGAAATAGTGCGATGACGAACCTGCATCTACTGCGACGGCGACGCTGTGAGAAGAAAGAGATTGGGGGTTTCAACTTTACTCTTCCGTGATTGTGAACTGTTCTCTCCACGGTGGGTCTCTTCGTCGATATTGAAGGGGTTGAGCATCGGCGACGAGAACGGTGAGATTGTGTAGTGGGTCTGATCGTTTTTCAACTTTCCTTTCGTGGGATTGTGTTTCGCAGTGGGTCTGTTCGTAGATAGTAAAGGGGGTGAGCAGTGGCGACGACAACGAGGACTTGAATTCTGAAGGTGGCGGAGAATCTTTTACTAGGGGAAGACTTAGAAGGAATAAAAGACTCGAAAGCCCAATCGAAAACGACGAGTCAACTGGCGTCAGGCGGTAGAACTTCTGCAATAGCGAGAATTGGGTGATAAAGCATTCGATTTGCAAGGGTCTTTCTAGATACAACATGGGCTACCCTATTACCATACCGACCTACAAATCGAACACTAAACCCTAAATGGATGGCCAAGCAATGTAAGATTTCTTCAAGAACAACACCCATCCGACTGTCACTAGCATCAGCCTGATTGATTTTATCAATGATCACTTTGGCATCTCCCTCAAACCTCATTGTCGTGAACCCGTGGTCCAGACTCCATAAAATAGCTTCTCGAAGAACGAGCAATTCCACCACCATTGGGTCATCGATTATTGGGAATTGAAACCCTTGGGCTATAAGGATATCCCTCGCTAGATTCATAATAAGACGACTTTTCTTTATAACGAATAGAAGATTATGTATATCGGAACTACATGTACATATTCTGTTAAGTCTTAGAAAGTCAATAACATAGATTTAGGGTATGTCTACGACGACATTATTAAAAATTCAAGTCAGAGTGACTTCATTAAACGCAGACAAATGACTGGTATAGTGGATATATTGTATATGCCTCGTGTGGTTTATAACGAGTCGACCGAGTTCAACATAGTTCAAGGGTAGATGACTACATCAATAAAAAATTCATAAATTTATATAATAGGTATGCGAAGGTTGATTGTAACACCAAATAATTGATAGTTTCCGTGACATGTTGACTTCTTTATTTGTAGGTGGAATGACTTCAAGGCGAGATACCTATACCAATAGTTTTTTGTTGTACCGGTTGATCGCTTTCAAATGAAGACAGCAACCTAATAGAGCTATTTCTTGTTTTGTTCAATTGTCTTTATGTGTAGGTCGGTCGAGTTTGGAGAACACAAGGTGCACTATCCATAAATCCATGCCGTAAATCATTTTTTAGGTTTTTATTTGAATTTTAACACATCAACAATAATAAGGCCATGTCAAATCAGTCGACCTGGTAAGATCAGTTAACTATATTTTCCGGTCTACACATATTTTCAACGATATTATTGATCAACGATACATATTATAAACTCGCTAGATTGCAAGTCGCCATAACTTGAAATTTAACTTGCTAGATATTGATATTGCACCTTTGACTTTTTGAACAACAATTAATAAAACGGTTCACAATTCTTCAAACAAAATTCAAACGATGGTGTTTGATATTTTCGATGACTTGTGGAACAAACCAAAATAAATTACTCTATTTCTACAAAAATTCAGTAAAAACTCCAGAATAATAATTACAATTAAGGCTACATTGCAGGAAAAATATAAAATTTGACATGAGGTGGAAAATTTGATATGTACAACAATTTCATGGAAATAAAAACACATAAAATTTGTAAGAATTTTAATACTCATTGTATTCTATACCAATTTTCTTAAACAACACACATCTCATACTTGGAATAATCTTCATTACTTCATAATTACTCATTTTCCTTTCTTCACTATATGCAAAATCTAGAAAGATATCCAACAAAGCAATCTTACAAATCAAAACTAAAAATTTATCCCCTTTCACTAAAAATTTCCCCCTTCCATCGCCATGGCACCAACAACAACATCTCCTCTCATCATCACTCTCTTCCTCCTCTTCTCCATCTCACTCAACTCCCACTGCTTCAAAATCACGACTCAGCTCATCCACCGCGACTCCTACTTCTCTCCCCTCTACAACGCCACCGCGACCACCTCCGATCGGCCAGCAAGGATCATCGAAGCTACCCTCGCCCGCTACGGTCAACTGATCTCATCTTACGACGACGACAGGCCTCTGGCTGTCGACATCGTGGCCCCAGGGATATGGGGGATCAGGTTCAACATATTCTATGTCAACTTCTCCATCGGCGACCCGCCGGTGCCGCAGCTGGCCGTGATGGACACCGGCAGTGACTTGTTGTGGGTGAAATGCCCGCCGTGCAGTCCTTGTTCCACCAGCTCTGGAGCCACCTATTTTTACTCCTTCAATTCCAAGACTTACTCTCCGTTCCCTTGCACCGATGATTGCGAAAAATGCACAGGTACGCATCCATTGTATAAAAACTTGTTTTAACAACCAAAAAGTGGTCATCAAAAGATATAAACCATAAAAAACTGACCTTTTGTGATAGAAAATTGGCGACAGGTGAACATTCGTCACAAAAAGATGGGTTTCACGTAAAGTTTTGTGGCCGAAAAGTAAACCTTTCGCGAGGAATTACGTCGTCGCAAAAGCTGCTGTGTTCTTGTAGCCAAATCGTCGATTTGGTCTTATCGTTTTTCTTGTAGTGACGCCTGCCACGAATATTTGTCATTTTACAGCATTTACATCTTAAAATTTTCAAACGTGAGTAAATGAATCCACTTCAATATATGATTTGACAGAAGCAGAAGGTTCATCTATATTCCTGGAGAAGTCTCCACTGAGTTTTTTCGAATTTTTTGCTTATTCGTATTTATGAATTTGTCGAATTTTCATGTTCGTGACATAAAGGGGGTTGGCCATGGTCGCCAAAGCACTGCAAGTACAAAATAGACTACGCGGGCGGCCACAGTTCCGAGGGAGTCTACGCCACCGAGCAACTGACCTTTCAGACCTCCAACAATGGCTTCGTGACCACCATCCCAAAAGCCTTATTCGGCTGTTCTAGCAAGCAGAGCGGGCCGGAAGGTCTTGACCCGCACGTCAACGGAGTTCTAGGATTGATGGCCGGAGCCGGCGCTGACGATTTCCCCGATGGACAATTCCCTTTGGTTACCCGATTGGGCACCAGCTTCTCGTACTGCGTCGGCAGCCTGTCCGATCGTTACTACCCTCACAACCACTTATCCTTCGGCGACGCCGTCGACCTGATCGGCGGATCGACTCCCCTGTACCTAGAAGACGGCAGGTACTTTGTTCACCTCTCCGGCATCAGCTTGGGTGGCAAGATGTTGGACATCAAGAAGGAAGTGTTCGCGAAGATGGCGTTGAGGAAGAAGATTGAGATGGACAGTGGGTCGGAGCTGTTTCTCCTGTACACCGAAGCATTCGAGGTTTTGAAGGCAGAGATCGAGAGGCTGGCTTTCTGGGAGCTGATGACACCGTTCTTATCTCCGCCGAGCCCTTTGGAGCTCTGTTACAAAGGGACGGTGGAGAAAGAGGCTCGAGGGTTTCCGACGATGGGGATTCGGTTCGTCGGTGGGGTGGAGTTGGTTGTGGATCGGTTTGGGGTGTTCTTGCAGGTTAAGGATGATGTTTTCTGCTTGGCTATTGTTAGGTCAAAGGGTGTGAGTGTTATTGGGATGATGGTTCAACAGGGTTACAATGTTGGGTATGATCTGAAAGCAATGACTGTGAGTTTCCAAAAAATGGATTGCCAACTTTTGGAACGATGATATTTGATCAAACACATATATAATATCCGCGTTGTACTTGTGTTAGATGCTCTTATGAGTTTGTCGGGTATACACGATGATTATGTTTTGTTGTGTTAGAGGAATTTTCTTCGTAAAGAATAGAAAAGAAGATTATGTATATCGATCGGAACTTACATGTACTTATTTGGTTAATTGTCCTGATGTGCAGGTCGACCAGGCCAGTTTTGGAGATTGAAAGGTGCACCACGCATAAACCAATGATGTTATTGATCAACGATACATATATATTAATTAACTCGCTAGACTCCAAGTCACCATAACTTGAAATTTATCTCACTTAGATATTAATTGTTGAACTTGCAACTTTTTGAACAACAATTAATATTAACATGATTCACATCTCTCCAAAAAAAAATCGAACGAGAGTGTTTGATATTTTCGATGACTTGTGGAACAAACTAAATTAAGTTACTCTACTTCTATAGAAATTCTGTGAAAGCTCCAGAAACTAAAAATTAAAACTATTCCTACACTGAAAAAAGAAAAATTGACATGACATGTCAAATTTGAAATGTACCACAATTTCATGGAAACAACACAAAATTGGAAAGAACTGTAATACTTAGGAATTCTATACCAATTTTCTTAAACAACACATCTTATACTTGGAATAATCTTCATCACTTCATAATCATTCATTTTCCTTTTTTCACTCTATGAAAAATCTAGAAAGATATCCAACAGAACAATCTTACAAATCAAAACCAAAATAAATCCCCTTCCACTCATAATTTCCCTCTTCCTCTTCTTCTCCATCTCTCCCCCTCCCACTGCTTCAAAATCACGACTCAACTCATCCACCGCGACTCCTACTTCTCTCCCCTCTACAACGCCACCGCCGATCGTGCTAGAAGGATCATCGAAGCTACCCTCGCCCGCTATGGTCACCTGATCTCATCGAACGACGACACGCCGATGGGTGTCGACATCGAGGCCAGTGGGACCTGGGGGATCAAGTACAACATATTCTATGTCAACTTCTCCATCGGCGACCCGCCGGTGCCGCAGCTGGCCCTGATGGACACCGGCAGCGACTTATTGTGGGTGAAATGCCCGCCGTGAAGTCCTTGCTCTACCAGCTCTGGAGCCACATACTTTTACTCCTTCAATTCCAAGACTTACTCCCCACTCCCTTGTACTTATGACTGCAAGAAATGCACAGGTAACTTGAATTTTCAAGTAGGTTTATGTTGATTTTTCCAAGTTGTTTCCGTCAGGAAACCATTTAATTCCAAGTACGAAGAAAGTTAAAAACTGATCTTATACCACTCTCCAAGATTGTTTGGAAAAATTTAACTATTGATCTCAATACCACTCTCTCGTCCGCTTTCTTAAACGAAAATCTGCTCATAGCTTTGAAGTTTACACAGGTTCCCCATACTTTGTGCTTAAATAAGTCATTAATATTGGAGGTCACCAGGAGTTGAACACGTGACCTCATGATCAAACCAACTATGATATCTTTGTCATAAATCGTTTGCTTACAATAACTCGAGTTGTTGGGATAGATCACTACAAGAAAACAGGCCTTTCGCAACCAATAAAATTGGTCCCTAAAGGTAAAAAATGGTTATAAATACTTTTTCACAACCAAAATATTTTGGTTGCAGAACTGGTCGCTATAGCCGCATTACGAATACATAACGCAACCAAAACAGTGATTGGTAGCGAAAAATAATGCTATCGCAACCAATTTCGCCAAAGGTAAAAAAATCCTTAATTTTTTCGCAACCATTTTAATTTGGTTGTCAAATTTCAATCTAATGGTTGGGAAATATAGTTGATTGGTCTCAAAAATATAAATGACAACCAATTTGATGTGACTATTAGTAACATTATTTTGGATGCAAAAAAGGAAGTGTTCGCGGAAATGGCGTTGAGGAAGAAGATTGAGATGGACAACGGATCAGAGTTGTTTCTCCTGTAAGTCGAAGCTTTCGACGCGATGAAACCAAAGGTTGAGATGATGGCTTTCTAGGAGCTAACCCGGGTCTCTCCGCCGAGCCCTTTGGAGCTATGTTACAAAGGAACTGTAGACAGAGAAGGTCGAGGGTTTCCGGTGATGGGGATCCAGTTCGTCAGCGGGGTGGAGCTGGTCGTGAATCGTTTTGGGATGTTCTGGCAGGTTACGGATGATGTTTTCTGCTTGGTTGTTGTTAGGTCAAAGGATGCGAGTGTTATTGGGATGATGGCTCAACAAGGTTACAATGTTGGGTATGATCTTAAAGCAATGACAGTGAGTTTCCAAAAAATGGATTGCCAACTTTTGGAAGGATGATGATTATTGATCAAACACATATGTAATATTCGCGTTGTAAATGTGTTAATGAATTTGTCGGGTATACATGATGATCATGTTTGCTTGTCTTAGACGACTTTTCTTTATAACGAATAGAAGATTATGTATATCGGAACTTACATGTATATATTCAGTTAAGTCTTAAAAATTCAGTATAGATTTAGGGTATGTCTACGACGACATTATTAAAAATCCAAGTCAAAGTGACTTCGTTAAAGGAAGACAAATGCCTGGTATAGTGAATATATTGTATATGCTTCGTGTGGTTTATAACGAGCGACCGAGTTCAACATGGTTCAAGGTAGATGACTACATCAATAAAAAAATTCGTAAATTTATATAATAAGTATACGAAGGTTGATTGGAGCACCAAATAATTGATAAATGCCGTGATCATGTTGACTTCTTTGTTTGTAGGTGAAATTATTTGAAGGCCCGATACCTACACCAATGAGGCATTTTATAATGCTATATAGCACCCATGCTTTAATATACTTAGAGCCATTAGATCAGCCATTAGATTGAAGTCATTTAATTATTATTATTTTCACTCGTTGGAATGGTAACCTGTTGTACCGGTTTGTTACGTAGTAATTTTTAAAAAAAATTGAAATCCAGTCGGGGTAAAGGAGATTGAGCTCGTCGGAATTCAGAGCCTCTCTTCCGCATTGGAATTTCAGAGCGTCTCTTCGTCGATAGTGACGGGGTTGATTAGCGATGACGGCGAACCTGCATCTGAAGTAGTGCGACGGCGACGGCGAACCTGCATCTAGGGCGACAGCGACGCTGTGAGAAGAAAGAGACTGGGGGGTTTCAACTTTACTCTTCCGCCATTGTGAACTGTGCTCTTCCGCGGTGGGTCTCTTCGTCGATATTGAAGTGTTGAGCATCGGCGACAAGAACGGTGAGATTATGTGGTGGGTCTGATCGTTTTTCAACTTTCCTCTCCTGGGATTGTGTTTCGCGGTGGGTCTGTTCGTAGATAGTAAAGGGGGTGAGCAATGGCGACGGCAACGAGGACTTGAACTCTGAAGGCGGCGGAGACTCTTTTACTAGGGGAAGACTCATAAGGAATCAAAGACTCGAAAGCCCAATCGAAAACGATGAGTCAACTGGCGCCGGGTAGGAGAACTTCTGCAATAGCGAGAATTAGGTGATAAAGCATTCGATTTCCAATTTGAAACGACGACTCATTCATTCATTCAATGTAAGTGGCTGAAATTCTTATCCCCCTTTGATAAACATTCAATTTCTGACATGGATTCAAGTTAGTTTGGGTTAAATATCCCTCTAGCTTTTAGAGCATCTCTTGGAGCAGTTTCAAGTACAATAATGGTGTAACCCATCAAAAAGTTGATCTTGGGGCACCTTGTAATGAATCCTTTAACTTATCCTAGCTTTGAATGTCTGACTTATTTCTCTAGAAATGTCAAGTTGTCTACTATAGATCGGTTGCCAAATCATAGGATGGTTAGTGAGTGGTAGGAACGTTGATTGTGGGATAGCTGAATAATGGTTCAGAATGGTAAAAGTAAAGCTTGTACCAACTAGAGGGGTAAACCTTGGAACAAATAATGGAGGATTATTGGAGATACTTACCAGTTAGAAGAATGTGGGTTGGCGAGGTTAGTACGATAGTGCAGAAAGGTCCTTGTGTGCACGCTCTTAAGGTCGATAAAGATGTCTTATATGCTGACATGGGCGGAGGATCATTCATTACCTGCTGACTTTTGTGATGGGAGGCTCCAAGTTCACGATTACAATTATAACATATTGCATTGTTTGAAGCGAGTTGAAGTGTTTTAGTCTACTGGTAAAGTTTTGTTGTTGCTTGTTGATGTCCTGGTATTGGTTTAATTGTGGACCTCATAGATGTAGGTCGATGTTGATCGCTTCTGAAAGCCATTGCAGTTCATCTTGTAGACCGTCTTATTGTTTACAGAATTAGGGGTGATTTGGTTGATTCTAAACTTGTCATGATAAGTAGCATGTTCTACTTCTGCTGCTCTATTTTCCTTGGTGTGGCTGTGTCTCCAGTGTAACACCCCGAATTTTGGATTATGGTTCGACCATGATACGTAATCGGTTGGGTTGACAGTGGCGTACTAGGAGTTGCAATCGCGGTTAATAGTAGTAATAATAATAACAATAATAATAATTATTATTATATATAAAAAAAAAAGATGTGTATCGGCCTGGGGGGGCCGAGCCCCCTCCAATTATTTCCAAGACCACCAGGGGAAACCCTCGACCCCTTATATTCTTTCTTTTCCATTTTCCCCAAACATAAACCCCTGCCGCCGCTCTCGCAAAAATATTGCCCGGGGAGAAAAGAAAAGGAACCGCCGCAAGTCCCAGCCGCGCGAGTGGAAGAAAGGGAGCTCCGATCCCGATCCCGATCCCATTCCTTTCGTGTTCTAGGTAATGATCACAAACCCCCTTTCGCGATTTCTATACGCGATTTATCGTTAGATTAATTCGAGGCTCGGTTTTTATTAGCGGTGACATTGAGGGTTCGATCAACGACGAGATCAACGTCCCGGATCAGCCAATCTAGGCCTAGGCACGTTCTAGAGGTAAGGGAACTCGATTCCTAGGAGTTAGATCAATCGATTTGGTGTTTTTCTTGAGTGTGCAATTCTGTGGTTTTAGCAACAGGCGATCAGGCCTTTAGTGACAGGGTTTGGGTGGTCACTAAAGCTGCTGGGAATTTTCAGAAAATTGGTTTTGGATGGTTTAAAATTCTTTCGAGTCTCTGCGAGGGTTTTTCCTTGCGTTTAAATTTTTTATAAATTGAAGCAGGTCTAGGAGATGGCTGTAAATTAATTTGGGAATTTTTGAAGATGTATTTATAATTTTAGAAATTGTTCGAACATTCGTTTTAATTAAATAAAAATAATTCCGATGAGTTTATAAGGGTTTGATAATTTTCCATGGTATAAGTACTCATGATAGATGTAGTAAAATTATGATCCGAATTTTTGAGAAGGTTCAAGTTAGGTGGAAAATTCGTTCAAGATTAAAATAATTAGGAAAAGTGGTTGGTTTTGAAGGGACTGTTTTTAGAAAATTTTTAACGGGGATTAAGAGACCTTGGGAGCGAGTCTCTAGGGCTGGATGTTGAGGAGAGGATGTTCGAGTGACCCAAAAGGGGTTTCTAAAGCGAGAAAGGTCGACTAAGGAGATGACTTTCTTATTAATAGGTTCACCGAGATAATTCGGCTAGGAGGGATTCTTCGAGTAAAGAATCGAGGAGTCAGCTTTTTAAGGTGAGTGTAAAGGGGGTAAATTCTACGCCTTACGGGTTCTTTCAAGAATTACAAGTTTTGGGTATTTTGATGAAGTGAATGTCGTTGTTTGATTGTGCTCATGATTGATGATATGTGATTGTGTTGAGCTATGCTTGATGTGAATTTGCATGAGTTCTTATTTAAATTTAAGCTTTAAGTTTATAAGTTATCGTTAAAGTTAAGAAGCCAGTCCTTTTAAGAAGTAACTCGCCTTCAAGAAGGTGAAGTCGTTTTAAGTGTTTTTAGTCACTAGCGCCAGTCCGTTGCTTTTGAGACAGTTTGAGATAGAGCAGCAGTTATGCTCTTGAGATTTTAAGATGGGCAGCAGTTATGCCCTTGAGAATCGTGGTGAAGAGCCACCACGATAAGTTTAAGATGTTAGGGGGATGAATCGTTACGACTTCCCTAACTAAGTTTAAGTTTAAGGAAAGCCTAGGTGGCTTCTCATACGTATGAGTTGGCAACCGGACTAGCTAGTGAGGGATCCCCGTGTCAGTCAAAAGATTTAAGTAAAGTTTTGAGCTTTAAGAAGGGAGACTAACTTTAACTCCCGAAGAATTTTATGAGTTATAAGTTTTAAGAGTGGAAGTACAAAACAACTTCCCCTAATTGAAGTTAAGTGTTTAGAGAAGAATACTAAAGTACTATAGATCTTATCGTAAGGGCGTAGACTGACCCCAATTCACTCACCAGATCGTAGAGGAGGAAATCCAAACCAGCCAGTCCGCGACCAGCAAGCTAGAGGAGCTCAATTCTATCGTCGTTGAGAGATGTCGAGTCAGGCGTCAGAGTAAGCTTCGAAGAACTTTTCAAGTTATTAAGACATTATGGTTAAGAGTTAAAGACTGGAGATTCATTTCCTTTGGACAATTTGAGTTTTGCCCACATGTTTAGGGCTACGGTTTGAGATATTGAGATATTTGAGTTTGGTATTTTTATTTAAACTTGTGTTATTTGAGATTTTTAACTATACCCCGGGGTAGAAATGTCTTTTTCCAAATTCAAAGAGAAGGGATGTTTCATTTTGGTATCAGAGCCGGTCGTCCTCTGTTTCTTTGTTTCCAAGAAATACTGGAATGTCGGTCTCAGTTTTGAAAGGTTTTGTTTTTAAAGATTTTAAGTCAAAGTTTGGCCAAACAAGTCAAGGATTTCATTTAAGAAATTTAGAATCTCCAGTCTACTCTAGACTATATTAAGGAAGAAATAACTGAGCTCTAACGAGACCCTATGCGTCTACAGTGCAAGTGTTGGCCAGAACCCCACACCACCGGTGCCCCCACCACAGAGACGTCCACCAGACTATGTAGGTTTTCGGAAGAGAAAGGTGGAGGATTTTAAGGGGGAGCGTTCAACAGACCCCATGGAAGTAGAGCAGTGGCTAGCAAAGGTCACTCGTACGCTGGTCGAGATGAGAGCTGATGACGAGGATAGAGTGCTGCTGACAGTGTCCTTGCTGCAGGACGCTGCATACAACTGGTGGACTAACCTGCCAGCTAGTCGAGAGGATCCACCGGCCATCACTTGGCCAGAGTTCGTGCAGTTGTTCAAAGACCACTTCATACCGGAGGCTTACCGGATTGGGAAGCAGAGGGAATTTCTGCTGATCAGGCAGAAGTGGGGCAATGAAGGCAGGGAAAGCGTGACTGAGTACACGGCCAGGTTTGACAAGCTACTTACCTATGGAGGGCCTCAATTTCAGGATGTAGCAGCTCAACGCACCCATTACCTGGAGAGCCTGAAGCCTGCTTTTCGCCGCCAGCTGAGTATACTGAATTGGAACAACAGGGAAGAGATCTATCAGGCGGCACTTCGATTGGAGAGGGCGGATACCGCTCTACATGAGGAAGGGATGCAACGAGAAGGCAACAAGAGAAAGGCTGCTAGCCTGTCTGAGGGGCCAGGACAACCGAGTCAGCAGAGAAGGAGACCATCTCAGAGCTACTATGGGGCCACCCAGAGTCAGGCCGGCTCAACCAGATCAGGGCCGACCTACATTCCTCGGGATCCATGCAACCAGTGTGGGAGAATCCACCCGGGAGAGTGTAAGGTGCATCTGGGAGGCATCTGTTATCACTGCAATGAGCCGGGCCACTATGCCAGAGATTGCCCTAGGAAAGGAGGACAGGGGAGAGCCCAGTCCGAGCAATCGGTCCGGGGCGGAGGAGGAAGAACTCAGACCGGACAGCAGTTTCGCAACCAGCCCAATCGGTCTAATCACCAGCAGGGAGGAAATGCAGGGCGTTTCAACCGCAATGAGCGGGATCGAGGGCAAGGATCTCAAGCATCTGGGCAACCAAGACTGTTTGCCATGAGGAGAGAAGAAGCTGATGCTGCACCTGAGGTGGTGACTGGTATGATCTCGCTTTACCACCAGCCCGCTTTTGTGTTATTTGATTCCGGTTCCACGCACTCTTTCATTTCTACCAAGCTTGCTAGAACCTTAGGGATCCCATTTGTGAGATTGGGGCAGAATTTAGGGGTCAGGACCCCAGTGGGGGATACCCTTATAGTAGACACAATCATTCAAGATTGTGCTATCACCGTGGCGGGGCACGAATTCGAGGCGAACCTAATTCTACTACCCTTCGACGAGTTTGATGTCATCTTGGGTATGGATTGGCTGTCAAAGAATAGAGCAAAGGTGGACTGCTACAAGAAGGAGGTTAGCCTGGAGGTGGAAGGAAAGGGCACTGCCTTGTTCAAAGGGACTAAGAAGCTTATCCCTGGGTGCTTAATCTCCGCGGTTAAGGCATTCTCATTAATTCAAGAAGGATGTGAGGCATATTTAGCTCATGTTAAGGAGGTGCAAGATAAGAAGATAGAAGATGTACCTGTCGTCAGGGAATACCCCGAGGTATTTCCCGAAGATCTTCCGGGGCTACCGCCGCAGAGAGAGGTTGAGT